TATTTTAGAATTCTGAATGTTTAGATTAGATTGATCTTAATATTTTGATAAAAATCTAGTATGGTAGAAATTCGTTTGATTTTAGCTTCTTTTTAGTTTCTTTGCTCTATATAGCATTTGTTTGGGAGTCATTTTTAGAAGAAAAGTGACCGTTGCAAATTATTTTATACAATTATATCTGAGACATATTTGACAACTAGCTGCACAAGATTAGGCTTTTGATTTAAAGTACCACATTTGCCCTTTGAATATTCAAACTGGATGGCAAGCTATCAAATTAAAAAAATGCACAAATAACAAAACATGGGTAAAAAAGGAAAAATGCCATAAATACCATACATTATTATCAAGTGTGTCATACATGGTGGCCCACTTGATGTGATATAAAAATGCATTTTGGGAGCAAAAATGGCTCCCAAACAAGCACATAGAGAGATTTGTCATTGTAATAGGAAACCTTAATTATAAGAATAAATTGATTTCCTCTGTCCTAATTTCTTCTCTCCTTTAATCCCCTTTCTTTTCTTGTTGCTTTTTTTCTTGTTTTGTCAAATTTTAATGTTCCTGCTTCATAAGGCCCAATGACTTGAATACTAATCCACAGGTGGGAGATGGTGCAAAACCCTCCATTTACATTTCACTGGAACCTAAAAACTCTTGCTAAAACGTAAATGAATTTTGATTTTAAAAGAAGAATCAAAGTTACCAAGGTGATAAAATTCAAGTAACCAATATTTCACTTTGCACAAGAACAAGAACAATCACATTGCATGCTTGGTGTTTATGTAATACATGTACCAATGGCCTAATTTTATTAGTTTAGGTTTGGCCCGTTGTAAGAATAAATAAATAAATAAAATAGACGATTAAAATTTTAGCCCGATCAATAACACAAAAGTCCATTATGTGCAATTATAGCCCACACCTTTTTGTTTTTGTTTTATTTTTCTTTTTGGGCTTAAGCCCAAGTGATTAAAATCTTATTTAATTTTAATTAAATAATGGAGATAATGTTTTAATTTTATCTCTTTTAATTAGATTGAAATTTTAAATGATTGAGATAAAAACAAATTCCTATTAAGATAATATTTTAATTTTATCTATATTTTATTTAATGTTAAAAGATAATTGAGATAATATTTCAATGTTATCACTTTCAATTAAAATTGAAATATTAAATTATAAAGATAATATTTTAATTTTATCTCTACTTTATTTAATTTTA